TTTTTTTTTTTTGTTGGGGGGGGGGGGGGGGGCGACAAGTAATCCTTGGTTCTCCTGATCTAGATCCCTATCTGGTGCCAGCATCACAGCACCCAACTTGCCTGGCATGTCATCACTACGTAGATGAGTTTCACTTCCTCTGTTGTTTAGAAAAGTTGATGCCTCAACTAGACTCTTTGGGATGCCCCTGATCAAAAATGATTTCCTCTGGTCCCAATGTAGGCAAGGCATTTTTCATCTACGTAAGGCCAGATTCTGTCATGTTTACTCGTACGAGCCCTTACTCCTGGAAGCAACTGTGAGAAAGGTAGCACAATCTAGACCACAAGGAAAAAGCAACCCCTGCCACCCAACCAGCTGATTTCCAAGCACAGCACTTGCTACTGGAGCAATTCCTATTTGTAGGACTTTTTGTGCTTGTGAAGCTGGGAGTCATCGTGTGTGTGGAGGGGGCCCACAAACAAACAAAATGCAGATGAAGAGTTAGGGAAAGGGCACAACTTTGAAGGAAAGTGATTTAGGAGACACAGGTGAAATCAATGAGAGTAGTGAATGGATAGTTCGATAAGCATGAAGTAGTTACCACTGAAGTCTTCCGGAGACTGAGTCTATCTGATCTGGCTCTGAAATATGCTTCGTCGAAGGATGCGTGACTCCCCTTCAGCTTCTCGGAGAGGTTTCGGTAGAGCCGTTTCGCAGCGTTCGGAGAAGACGGCCCGCTGCCGCTCTTTTTCATCTGGGAAAGATTCAGGTTCTGCATTTGCTGCGTCATGTTCACGTGGCAGGTCCTAGAAAGAAGGCAATGCAGCCATGTGACAAGGGGTTGCTCCACTTGTGTTAGCCATTTAAACTACGCCATTGTAACCCACCCTGCGCAACTCAGATGCCACATAACTTTCCACAAATTCTGGCCAGCTACACATCTGTTGGGAAATCAAGAATATTTAGGGCCACATTTTGAAGATTTTGCATTGCAGGTTGTTTCTCACAGTATAGTCCCACTGAGTTCAATGGGGATGGAGAGATCGGAGGCAACCGCATAAGAACTGCTGGCTACTGGGTCAGATCATAGGTCCACCTTGCCCAGTCTCCTGTGTCACACAGCGGCAAAGAGTGGATGCTGAAAGGGGCAGTGAACTGGGTCTGACCAGGGTTTTTTCCACTGTTCCTCTCTCACTTGCAGCCCCCTGCATTTAAAGTCTAGTGGGAATACTATGAGCAACTGATAGTAGATGTGAGGAATAAAAGATTTGATACCTGGTGGATTAAATGATTCTCTTTGAGGGAAATAATTCTGGTGAAGATCAAATGAAGTTTGGGAATTGGGGAGAGGGGTTTATCCTGCATTTACAGCACATGACAATCCTCTTTATTTTGCTAAAGCATTTTATTTTTAACAACTCTTGAAACCAAACGGGTTGCTCCAGATTCATACCTACACCTAGGATGGGGCGTCTCTGTTGAGCATCCATTATGAAGGAAGCTATTAGGTGTCTGATACAATAAGCCAAAGTGGCCTCTTTTAATGCACTGGGCCAAACACTCTTCTGAGCTAGACCAAAGTAAATCTGGAGTCATGGCACTGAAGTCACTGCAGTTATTCCAGATGCTGTGGTGACCTTCATTTCTAATAATTCAATCACCGCTACTGCACATAGGTACATGCTCAAGTGTCAGCTAAGACCCAGCCAGAAAGCTGCCCAAATAATCAGCCTCTAAGCCCATTTCCTTGATCCTGTCGCACCTTTCTATACATCCCTTCTTTGGTCCTCACTTCTTTCTCACCAGATACAAGCTGCTTCTCCACACTCTAGGCATGTGCTGGCCGTCACACTCATGCTGCCCCCATCCCTTGGAGGAAGTCCTTAAAAACTTCTGCAGAGCTACTTCAGCACCCTTCTTAAAACTCCCATTGCTGTGATGCTGGCAAAAATATTGACAACCACGGGGCTCCTGATGTGCTGTGACTACTGCCCATCATCTTCCAGTTTCCCTGTGCTCCCTCATCTGTCTGTAGCAATCAGCTGTATCTTTTCTTATACTTGGATGTTAAACTCTGGCTCATGGGACTCTCTTTGTTTGGTGTTTGAACAGCACCTGGCACAAGAGGGTCCTGGTGGGAACAAGGTGGGATTGGTAAACCAACCCTGCAGGACCTTTTATTTCCAGGTTCAGTTTTAGGAATAAAAAGCTTTTTCCTCTGAATATAAGTCGATAACTCCAGATAAAGTCCTTGAAGTGTCATGGCCTTTACAAAACCTGACAGTGGAATCAAATTACTCAGGAAAGGACCTAATGGGTTAAAATGCATTAAAAATACTAAAACTAGTGAAAAACATCTCCAATTTGGTATTTTTATTGTATGCACAAAAATACTGCAATCACACAAGCCAAGATTGTTAGCGGTCTGATAACAGTTTGATGCTGCGTTTAAGTCGCATGCAATTTTTATGGCTGAGTAGGTCCTCTAAAATCAGTGAGCGGTAGGGACCTACCTAAATTTTGGTTTTGCACATTTTGTGGAAACCACAGAAAACAGCTGGGAAATCTGGCGTTGGCTGAAATTTCCTGCAAAATCAACCAGCCTGTGGTAGAGACGGAGACTGAATGAAGGTGGCTCTGGGTGCCGCAAGCGGGCTGCAAAAAACCCATTATCTCCCTGTTACTTAGGCAGGTCCCTAGTGATTGGTGTTCAGGGCGGAGGTGCAAGTGCTGCTCCTACAGTCACAGAAATTAATGGCAAAACTCCCTTTGATATGGGTAGTAGCGAAAGGGAGATCCCTTTGTTTCAGCCCTGCCAAACTTGTTCACAGGAAATACGCTGGCAAGGCTCTCGTGCCTGTCTCAAGGGCTTGAACCCAACCCAGAGCCTCGGTGCATGGACCTGTGGAGCTATGAACTAGGGTTACGTAGCTGGGACCATAACTGATTTGCATCCAACAGGGGCAGGCTGAGAGAAGCACATGTAATACACTTGGACCACCGGGTTACACTTAGTCATGCAGGAATGCCACCATCCTGTTGGCATCAACAGATCTCAGGGCCTGGGACCAGGATACTCTGCTGCATTTGGGTTTCAGGCTCACACCCCAAAACCTTAGAAAAGCAAAACTGCTGTTGCTCCTTTTCCCCTCCCATAACTCAGGTTGTAACAGCCTTTTTAGTCTAACATGCTCATGACCAACAAATGTCTAGGCTATGGCAGAGTATGTTTTATAAGTCAAATACATCCAGGATAATGAGCCTTCCTGCTAGCCTTTGCATAATGAACAGGCACGCTTTGCTTGACCTTTGTGCTCCTTTCTTGTCCCCTGTATCTTCTGCCTTATCTTGAAGAGCTTACACTCCAAAGAGACAAGAAATGCCTCTGCTTTTTTGTACAGTGCTTCGGAAAATTTGGCAGTGCCCTTGGCTAGTCCCTAGGCACCGTTGTGAAAATGGAAGCAGTGATATTTTCTACGTTCTGTGGTACCAGGCATCTTCCAGTATCAGGATCTTTTGAACGGCTGTTACATTTATTTTGACGTCGCACCATTCCCATCTGCACGCTGCTTTTCACAGCAGAGGATTCTGAACTGCTCCCTCGGCTTCTAGTAGGAAGTCTATAGAGCATTTCCTCTGGGGGCTGAAAAGCTTACACCTGTCAAAAAGGATGAAACGTGGTGACGCTGAAAATTACAGAGGAGAATTTGGGTAAACATGTGCAACCCCCACAGCGGTGCACATGGGATAAAATGTGGGTACGAGCCAAGGTATAACTCCCCCCACCCAACACTTCCCTTCCAAACGCAGAGATCCACTGATGCGCAAGGCACCGGACCCACATTTGGAAGAGATACGGTGGTGGTCTAGAGAAGCTGATACTCCCAACCTTGCTTTCTTTCAACCTCTGGTTGCCAGGCAAGAAGTGAAGTGAATTACAGTGGAAGTCGTGCAACTATTTGTTGCTGTGGACTCTCAGCCTAAATCCTGTGCAAGGAGGTGCTCAGGATCAGGACCTGCCAATCAGCTATACCATTTACCGTCATAAAAGCCTCTATTAAACTTTTGCCCTGTTACTGAGATTAGCCTTTGGCATAATTTGCCTTTAAGATTGAAGGCTCAACACCAAGTCTCACGAGTCCTTTAACTCTTCCGTTATCATTTGGACAGGCTGAGCACAAAAGGATCTGATTACAAATAACCTTGCACATTTTCCGAGCTAACGAGGTATTGCAAAGAAACAGGGTGCCTGAATGAGATGCATATGCCAAGAGCCCGGTGATCATTGGGGTATGTGACAGGGAGATCCCTTTGTTAAATCAGAGTGCCGATGTGTACCAACTGAAGAACAGCCATCTGGGCAAGCCACGTCCTTGGAGCTAATGAGCAAAAATGGATGTGGTAAGAAGCAGGCCCTCAGAGGTTTCATGGAGCTGCAGCCCTGCAATGGTCCCGGATTGTCTTCCTCTGAGCATATGGGGGAAGACGTTCACTTATTGGTGAGGTTCCCAGCACTAGGTCACAGCACACAACTGCTTGCTTTTTAATTACTATTTGCATCTCAGTAGAAGACCCAACTGCAATCACTCAGCACTGTTGAGACGCACGGGGGGAGTCCCCAGTCCAGAGACAGACAAAGGCTGGCAGAGGAGACTGAAGCAGAGAGAGCAACAAAACCCGGCAGATTAGCGGCAAAGGCAGTAAAAAGAACCCAGGTCTCTCAAATGACAGTTTGGTGCCCCGGGCACTGGAGCAAGGAACTTGCAAACATCATATACTGCCATTAAAACATCAGTGACCCCCAGCTACGGCCGCAGAAGCGTATCTGAAATACTGACACGGTGACTAGATCAATTGGGGGGTTAACGGCAAGCACAAGAGAAGGTGTTTGGTGAAACACGATGGTTTTAAAAATGGCCAGAAGGCTGTGCTCATATTAGCCCCTTTTAGAATCTCTTAGAACAATTACGGTTAAAGGAACGTCTTTCGATGAGTTTCAAGAAATGGCTGGATCTGTTATTTTGCCCCCAGAGACCTTAATTTTCTGCAATTGCCTGCTATTAGCAGAATTTAGCAGAGGCTCAGCAATTTACCCAAAGCAATTTTGTTCTGTCACTCAGACTCAGGGTAAAAATCCCTCTGGAGCACTCCTGTGCCACCCTGCTCTCCGCTCTCCTACAAAGCTGCATGCTGACCTGCACAGGGCTTCCTCTGATAGGTGCTTTACCTCCTGTCCCTAATGCATGGCTCTTCCTTTACACCAGACGCGCACAAGGAGAAACCATCCCAAACGCTGCGTGTAAAGAATGGGAAGGACTCGGCAAACAAACACCCACCGAGAGCAGAGCTTTTAGGTCCTAGTGCTGAAATAACACCTTCAGATCTGGTTCACTGCTCTGCTACAGCTCTCTGTGAGCCACGGGATGATTCACTTACAGAATGAACTCTCACAAGCAGCCTGTAGTTTAAGGATATTCTCTAGTAATACAAATGTAATATTTAAGGACCCGGAGGATGGTGGCACAGGGATACTGCTCTTCCTGGAAGATGTCCAGAAAGGTGCAAAATGACAAGCCAGCAGGACCTTCTTCTTTACAGCTTCAGGTTATGAAGGAGAGCTGCCTGTTCAGAGAGTGGTGGTGATTTGAGAAGGAGGTGGTCTCTTGAGCTCCTGGCTTTTTCATTTGACATATTACTGATTATTGGTGTCATGACCCAACCGAGACCGGAGACCCAGTGCATGACACACTGTACAGAGACACAGTGAGAGAAACCCTCTTGAGACCTTACAGGCTGAATGGACCAG